GTCTGAGCACTGACACACTGACCCCCCACCTCTTCAACCTCTGCAGCAATGCTGGCAGCAGTCATATGTCTATTTCCCAAAGACAACCTCTGGATATGATGCTGAGCACATGCACTCAACTTCTTTGGTCGACAGTGGAACCTGTCCTGTTAAACTGCTGTATGGTCTTGGCCACCGTGCTGCAGCTCAGTTTCAGGGTCTTGGCTATCTTCTTATAGCCTAGGCCATCCTTATGTAGAGCAACAATTCTTTTTTTCAGATCCTCAGAGAGTTCTTTGCCATGAGGTGCCATGTTGAACTTCCAGTGACCAATATGAGAGAGTGAGAGCCTTAATACCAAATGTAACACACCTGCTCCACATTCACACCTGAGACCTTGTAACGCTAACAAGTCACATCACATCTGGGAGGGAAAATGGATAACTGGGACCAATTTGGACATTTTCACTTAGGGGTGTACTCACTTTTGTTGCCAGCGGCTTAGACATTAATGGCTGTGTGTTGAGTTATTTTGAGGGTACAGCAAATTTACACTGTTATACAAGCTGTACCCTCACTACTTTACAGTGCATAAAAATGTAATTTCTTCAGTGTTGTCACATGAAAAGATATAATAAAATATTTACAAAAATGTGTGGGGTGTACTCACTTCTGTGAGATACTGTATATTTTATTGATATTTTAACAAGCACTGACACTATAACACCTGTTCAGCAATCAGTGCAGAAAGAACGGATGACAGCAGCTCCGCTATTCACCTAAAGGACCTTAGGTGTTAAACAGATGGCAGGTTCCAACAATTACATAATGCACTCATTGAAGTGAATTCTATGTCTCCAACGGTTTAAAGGAATACTTTCAGTCTAAGTGAATCTCTACTCCAGGTAAAACATGTCCAAAAAAATTCTTAAAGGGAGGACACCACACAAGATGCCTACTATGACCTGTAGGCTACATTCACACAAGTGGCCAGGGGAGGCCGCTGGTGAAAATCAGTACATTTGTGTAAACAGAGCTACACGGTGCCTGCACACAGCGTGTACGAACAGTAGCAGTGGCTGCACATGGACTGAAATTCAGGTGGTCTAAACTGAACTGGCCAAAATTTTGATCCATGTATGACAGGCTTTAGTTAATAAGAGTTAGTCTCACTGGACAGTAGAGTTATGGTGGTAAAGCTTTATTAAAAGTAATAGAAGCATCTGTAGTGTCTGTCCTTATGCAGGACTTCTACCATAAATATTTAAAAAGGAGTACTTTAAATTCTAAAAGGTTTACAATTGTATACCAATGTAATAATATAGGGACGTGTTGAGGCTTTGGAAATACTATACCTACACTGATTGGTACCTTCAGGTGATGTTCCATCTTGAGACCAATTTGTCTTAAGTATCCCATTGATAGAGATATATATATATATACACACACACACACACACACACACACACACACACACACACACACACACACACACATATGTATACACACACCGATTGGGACCACCCTGTAGGCACTTCCAGAGAGTGAACCCCCCACCTTTCACACTCATTTCCACTGTCCCCATCACTACTTAACCACTTATTTTACCATCCTATCCCCCCCCCCCCCACCTTTTTTTTTTTCTCTTGGTCTTCCCCCTTCTCTGGATTCCCTGCATGCTACTCATAATAGTTGTTGTTACTTACTCTTACACAGCAGCTGTAAACAGAGTCCTTTGGGGCTACCCCACTGGAGTGCTCACGCAGACAGCCGAGTACATGATGTTAACCTTTGTTGTGCTTAATGAGAAAGTGAATATCTCTTAAGTTCATGAAGTTAAGTTTCTAGGCTCTTTGTGATCCAGTGCTCTTGCTTTTCACATTTTTCGATTATGGTAGCATGAAATATATACTGTTTTTTTGCACTGGACTGTATATGATACAGGCTCATTTTTGCAAGAAACTTTTGGACAAAGAGAAAAAACAAACAAAAAAAAAACAAAATAAAAAACATACACACCGCAAAAAACACAGCATATTTGTTAATTATATTTTGTGGTAATTATCTGGGGGTGGCAAATTATATAAATACCTAAAAAATTGGGAAAAACATTTCCCTGTAATTCTTTTCATTTATTCCCAATAAAACAAATAAATAAATATATATGTATCAAAGCTTGTCCTATCTGTCCCAAAATAAAAATTATATATAATATGTTAGACTAGACTATAAAACCTAAAAAGATAAAAATGTGCATAAATGAAACACTGCCAAAATTAAAAACTGCTCTGGGATCTAGAGGGAAAAAAAAAGGCTTGATGACTCTATTGGTTAAGGAAGATGTTTTTTATTTTTTCTAAAGTTCCAAAGGCATGAAGGGTTTTTTTTTTTACATCAATGCATTTTCTGCATTAAGGTAAATAACCATCGATGATCAGCTTACACCCCTGAATACTTACCTGAGCGTGATCTCGATCCAGCGCAGTGCCTAAGGCTCAGAGACAGCAGAAGGAGCCATGCTGTTTGTGGGGCAGACATAGAATAGGAGTGGACAGCACCTGTGGGGGACCCCAGAAGAGGTGGTTTGGAGCTACTCTGTGCAATACCATTGCACAGAGCGAGCATAAACCTGTTAATTATTTGAATTAAAAAAAAAAAAAACCCATAAAAAATAATAAATTGCATTTACGATCTATCTAAATCTATATATAATGCAAATAGGTTTAATGATTCAATATTCAACATATAGCACTATCCTTTCACAGAATAGAATCCCCACCAAGTTACTAACACAATCCTTCCCCTGAAGTACAAATAACATCAAAAATATAGTAAACTTGATTACCCTCTAATCAGTATTAGTGTATAAACATAAAGTCCAAAACCCAAAAAATGAAACAAAAAAACAAAAACCATCCAAAAGAAAAAACAAAAACAAAAAGTCCAAAATAAAGTCCCAAATTATTATTTCAAAATCTTTATCTGTGATATCTTAATTCTTCATATCTTCCAAAATCTTTGTGATATACTTCAAACCAGATCTTCATATACCTCAAAGAAAAGAACTCAACATGTGTAATATCTTCAAAGAAAGGGGTATATAAAAAACCATGCCACACGTGTTTCATGCACATAAAAAATAAACGTGCCACCACAACCGTGAAAAAGGAAAATCCCTCAGCCTTAGGAGTCAATCCACTGCATACCACTAGAGGAAGTGCATAGTTTACCCTCAGAATGGTATCAAGGGTCTGAGTACTTCTTTCCAACCTTTAAATATTCCTTCAGCCTTTCCAGCCACTTCCCACAGACCTCATAAACAGACCATGGATCGGTATGTATCATAAAAACTTATAGCACTTTATTGTAGCAACTTACATTCAAATAAGATGACATCAGCTTCAACATCACAAACGATATGTTCACAATCCTGCCTCTCCTCATAAGTGTATAGATACCACACTATCTCACTCCCCGAGGGGGAACCGATTGCCTGTGGTAAGTCCCCAGTACCTCAAAGCCCCATGAGGATTCCAGGAAGCCACAGCCGCATGTACCAGGATCAAAAAATGGCCGTCGCCGCACTTCCGGAAGAGCGTCACTACGTCACGTGCCCCGGACGCGTTTCGTCACATCCGGACTTTCTCAACAGGGAACTGTTGAGAAAGTCCGGATGTGACGAAACGCGTCCGGGGCACGTGACGTGGTGACGTAGTGACGCTCTTCCGGAAGTGCGGCGACGGCCATTTTTTGATCCTGGTACATGCGGCTGTGGCATAATGAGGATTCCAGGAAGCCACAGCCGCATGTACCAGGATCAAAAAATGGCCGTCGCCGCACTTCCGGAAGAGCGTCACTACGTCACGTGCCCCGGACGCGTTTCGTCACATCCGGACTTTCTCAACAGGGAACTGTTGAGAAAGTCCGGATGTGACGAAACGCGTCCGGGGCACGTGACGTGGTGACGTAGTGACGCTCTTCCGGAAGTGCGGCGACGGCCATTTTTTGATCCTGGTACATGCGGCTGTGGCTTCCTGGAATCCTCATGGGGCTTTGAGGTACTGGGGACTTACCACAGGCAATCGGTTCCCCCTCGGGGAGTGAGATAGTGTGGTATCTATACACTTATGAGGAGAGGCAGGATTGTGAACATATCGTTTGTGATGTTGAAGCTGATGTCATCTTATTTGAATGTAAGTTGCTACAATAAAGTGCTATAAGTTTTTATGATACATACCGATCCATGGTCTGTTTATGAGGTCTGTGGGAAGTGGCTGGAAAGGCTGAAGGAATATTTAAAGGTTGGAAAGAAGTACTCAGACCCTTGATACCATTCTGAGGGTAACTATGCACTTCCTCTAGTGGTATGCAGTGGATTGACTCCTAAGGCTGAGGGATTTTCCTTTTTCACGGTTGTGGTGGCACGTTTATTTTTTATGTGCATGAAACACGTGTGGCATGGTTTTTTATATACCCCTTTCTTTGAAGATATTACACATGTTGAGTTCTTTTCTTTGAGGTATATGAAGATCTGGTTTGAAGTATATCACAAAGATTTTGGAAGATATGAAGAATTAAGATATCACAGATAAAGATTTTGAAATAATAATTTGGGACTTTATTTTGGACTTTTTGTTTTTGTTTTTTCTTTTGGATGGTTTTTGTTTTTTTGTTTCATTTTTTGGGTTTTGGACTTTATGTTTATACACTAATACTGATTAGAGGGTAATCAAGTTTACTATATTTTTGAGGTTTAATGATTCACATCTGTGCAATGCAGTGTGCTAAATGCTAAAATTCAGATTGACTGTTAAAGCTTGATTTATTTCTATGGCATCATTTAAGTTCAAACACTACCAATTGGCAAGAGTAAAAGGTAAATACATCAGGAATACAGCTAGAGAGATACTTTTCATTTTAAGCACACAATACAAATTGTTTTTCTACCGTGTTATTTGTTTGTAAACATGCAAAACCATTTTATGCACAGCAAAAAACAAACTGAAGCACATTAAGGTTACCTGCTGGCACACAGAAGCAGCCAGGTTTCCTCCAGCACTATCTCCCGATATGGCAATCCTTTCCGGATCAACAGAGTACCTGGCAAGGACCTCTGGCAGCAGTAAATATTTTGTGGCAGCATAGACATCATTCAGTTGCTCTGGAAAATGAACATTTGGTACCAGCCTGTATCTAAGAGCAAAAATGCAATTAAAACATATACAAATATACATACACACCCCTATATACATACATACATACATACATACGCTATATACCCAAGCTCTCTATACCCCTGCAATTAAATGAGCTATTGCGCAGGAAGGGTCTGGGTAAATACTGAAGATGACTATAGGCCCCTTTCACACAGGGCAGAATCCGATTTGCTCAGCAGGGGATCCATCTGCTGATCCCCTGTAGAACAGAGTGGGTGGATGACAGTCCATGTTTCTGCAGAGTGGACACAAACAGAGCCCACTCTGCTCTATGAACTGGCAGGTGTAAACGGTCCAACTGCGTCAGGAACTCTGGACTCCTCCACTCCATGCTCGCCCTCTCCCACCCCCCTGGAAGAACCTAGAAATGCTGAAAGTCAAGATCCATCCACAACTCAGCCGTATACAGAGGGGGCTCAGCTGGTCACCTAGGGCTCCCACACTACCTCCAGGGGCAACGCAGGGGAGGTCCTGGACCTTGGCTAAATTTGAGAAAGAAAGGGCTTAACTAGAGCCTCTGTGCCTACAGGGATAGTTGCTTTTCCTCAGAGAAGAGGACTTGGGGAAAAATGCAGAAGAAGGTGATGGATATACAGAAAAAGGTAATCCTTACCAGAAAAAGCCCCAGATAAGGAAGCTACTTCCGGTTCACTGTCCATGAATGGGTGAGCATATACTGCACGGCCCCTACAACTAGTACAAAGGCCCTAGGAAAAAATAGCAAACCATTTAATGTTCCTGAAAAACTCAAGTGACTATGCTCTTTTTATTGATCCTGGATGATGAGTTTCCAGTTCAAGGTGGGAGGGGCTTCTCTCTCGTGCTGTCCTTGAAGATGATTACAGGAAAAAAAGACAGCCTTTGTAGAGAAGTCTTGTCTAGTTAAATTATGTTCAACTAAAACAAGCCTAGAGGTGAAATTAATCTAAACTTCACATGCTTTACTAAGAGGATTAAACAGAACAATTTGTTTGTCAGCTGCAAACACATTCAATTAGTCAAGAATTTCTTAATCTTCAGCTGTTTTGTATACATTGAGTCAACATACCATGCAAGGAACAAATCATTGTATTTTTGGAAATAAACTAAAAAGGCTAAAAACTCTATATGGTCTATGGTTAAACTGGCAAATCAATTTTTATAGACTGAAAATTTTATGTCACAGAAAAAACCAAATCTGTGGGAAACAAGGACACTATGACATAGGGGCTTTCATATCAAATATTTTCAAACATTGTCTTAAGTGAATACAAGGAAAATGCTCTCCATAGACTCATAGTAGGTCTCCGAGTAGGTCTTTCCTGATGCCAACATGACAGCATCATGTGATATAGCTCCACCTCTATGTCCACCCACAGGACCTTATTATTATTATACAGTATTTATATAGCGCCAATAGTTTGCTCAGCGCTGTACATTATATTATGAGACAGTACAAGAGACAGACAGTAACAGTAACAATACAATTCGATACCCGAGGGGTTTGAGGGCTCTGCTCCTTGGAGCTTACAATCTAGGAGGGAGGGGATAGTGGTACAGGGGGAAATAGCTGTGGGGGATGGAGTGGTAGGAAGAGTGGAGGAGTTCAGTAATTAGCTGAGGGCGGGGTAGGCTTCCCTGAAGAGATAGGTTTTCAGAGTGCGCCTGAAGGTGAGGAGAGTAGGTGATAGTCTGATGGATTGGTTTAAGGACCTGTGTAAATCTATAATAGTTTGGCTGAGAGCAACCTCCTCCATTCTCCTCAAGATCTACACCTGCAAGACCATGATGTTGCGATATGTCCCTACCTACCAAGGTGGGGAGACCCTTCTCGTGGTCTTTTGGAGCTGAGGAGTTCTCTCGAGAGACGTCAGAACCTCACGTCCTGCACCTGAGCTGGTGTTGGCTGCTGCAGTCCATGCCGCATGTGTTTTTCTGCACAGCTGAGCAGAATCCTGGTGCTGGAGTTATACTGCCTTTTTTCTTTTATCCCACAGGTTTGTGCTATCCCTCCCTTGCCTTCATAGGCTTTGTCATTTTTCCTTTGTAAGAGTGATTTGGGGTTTTTCTTTAGTCTGCAGTTATTTTTTTTTTCTTCATTTGTAACACTTTGGGACTGGCGTGCATGCACAATCCAGTCCAGGTTTTGTGGCTGTTTCCAATCTCAGGGCTGATTAATGGCGTCCGCAGAGGACTGCTTATGTTGGCCATTTTTGTTATGGCACATCCAGGCTCACACACACGAGGTAGGTTTGCACTGGAAACATCTTCTGTTTTCCTTTACTCATACTGCAGGTGAATGGGGGGGGGTGATCTGTCTGCTTCTTTCTCCGAGTCGCTTCATTCTACGTTCCGCGCAGGGCTAACATCCTTGTTCCAATATGAGCCTTCTGCCACATAACCATGACCTCTATGTGCTCAGGTAGGGACCATCAGTGTGGCCAAACTACACAAGCTGGATGTAACAGGTATGATGCCTACCTTCAAGCTACTTCATAGTTTAAATCCTCTGGGAGGCGGTTTGTGTTTCTGTCAGGCAAACTCAGAGGACAAAGCTACAGCAAACCTTGTCGACTTGGAGTTACATAGTTACATAGTTAATCTGGCTGGAAAAAAAAAAAAAGACAAAAGTCCATCCAGTTCAACCATTAAAAAGAAAAAAAAAAAAAAGTTAGAATTCTATACCCACAGTTGATCCAGAGGAAATAAAAAAAAAAAAAAAAAAACAGCAAAGCATGACCCAATTTGCTCCTGCAGGAGAAAGAATTCCTTCCTGATCCTTTGAAAGGCAATCAGATATTCCCTGGATCAACTTTACTTATAATGTTAGTATCCAGTTATATTCTGTGTATCCAAGAAAGAATCCAGGCCTTTTTTAACCTCCCTAGCGGTCTGATTATGTCAGTATTTCTGTGCTCAAAGCGGTACATTCTTTTGCATGGAAATATGTAGTTTTTTTATTGTAGACCTGTAATTTTTAGGAATAACTCACTGAAATCTGTCCGAACAAGAGTCTAGTAAACATCCCGGGTATGATCAAATTTGAAACACTAAATTATAATTTAATAAAGAATCATAAAAAATAATATAATAATAAATTTAATTCAATAATATAATTAACCAAAAACACGGAAATTTGAAATATAGCGCCAAGTTTGCAGATCACTGAGCAAAGTCGCAAAATCGTTTTCAGTGTCTGATGACGAATTTCCCCACGAATCATTATCACTCAATTCTGCAAGTGGTTCTGATTTACTATAGCTGTTCTCTAGCTGGTCTAAAACCGCTTTTGACCTAAAAGGACGCTTTTTGGACGCCATGGACGTTTCTTAGTTTCAAGGCAGAAAGAACAGTAAAAATGCAGGCAGGGCACAGGACAAAGCACTAGGGACAAAATGTATGTGAAATGGTTTGATACAGTAATGTTTTACTATGTGATTTTAGTGAATATCACTTTTTGACATTTTCAAATTTCCCACTGGTTACGTCCCCGTACGTCCCGACGTCGCAGGGAATGGACCCGGAAGACGGATGCCGGCATCGACCAGAGGAGATGGCCGGGGACGCTGCAGGGGACACATCGCAGGGAACACATCGCGGGAGCGAAGGACAAGGTAAGTGAAGAAGAGATCCCAGAGCAATGCTGCAAGGTATTCCCGAGTGTAGCTCGCGGTTACCACTTGTAGTGCTGAAACTTTACCCCGAACTACACTCGTGAATACCTCCAGGGAGGTTAAAGCAATCCAATGAGCTGGCCAGAACCAACTATTGAGGGAGTCTATGCCACATTTTCACAGCTCTTACTGTAAAGAAACCTTTCCGTATTTGGAGATTACATTTCTTTTCCTCCAGACATAAAGAGTGCCCCCTTGTCCTCTGTGATGACCTTAGGGTGAATAACTCTACACCGAGTTCACTATATGAACCACTGATGTATTTATACATGTTGATCATATAACCCCTTAATCTCAACTTCTCAAGAGAGAATAAATTCAGTTCCTCTAATCTTTCCTCATAGCTGAGCTCCTCCATGCCTCTTATCAGTTTGATTGCCCTTCTCTGTACTTTCTCCAGTTCCCCAATGTTCTTATTGTGAATTGGTGCCCAAAACTGAACTGCAAATTCCAGATGAGGTCTTACTAATGATTTGTACAGGGGTAATATGATATCTCTCTCTGGAGTCTATGCCTCTTAATACAAGATACAGGATTTTGCTTGCTTTAGAAACCGCAGCTTGGCATTGCATGCCCTTATGATCTACCAGAACTCCCAGATCCTTCTCCACCATTGATTCCCCCAGTTGTACCCCCCTAGTATGTATGATGCATGCATATTCTTAGCCCCCAAGTGCATAACCTTACATTTATCAACATTAAACCTTATTAGCCACATAGTTGCCCAATTAAACAGTGCATTGAGGTCGGCTTGTAAATTGGAAACATCCTGTAAGGACGTTATTCCACTGCACAGATTGGTGTCATCTGCAAAGACTGAAATGGTATTTTCAATCCCAGACCCTATATAGTTTATAAATATATTAAAAAGTAAGGGTCCCAACACTGAACTTTGGGGTACACCACTAACAACCCTAGACCATTCAGAGTATGAATCATTAACCACTACTCCGAATTATGATTTTCCAGCAAGAACTCATCTTTGTGGTCTTTTATTAAACTCTTCAGTATCTTCCCAACTATAGAAGTTAAACTAACAGGTCTATAATTACTTGGTAAAGATTTTGACCCCTTTTATAATATATAGGCACCACATTGGCCTTACGCCAATCCAGAGTGTCAAGGTCATCTTGAAAACATACAGTGAGGCCAGGCAAGAGCCTCCAGAAGTGGTAGAGGCTCATTCAGCCAGGTCCATCTCTACGTTCAAGGCAGTGCATGCAAAGTGTCTATGGAGACTTTTGCAAAGCAGCAGGCTGGTTGCCACAGTGCACCTGCCTCAGACGCTGCAGGGAAGATCCAGGGGCTTGAACGTCAATGAACTTCAATAGAATGGTGGTCTATGCTTTTATGTCAAATTGTAATAAAAAAAGTGATTACACAGTTTAGCCCTCCCTGTTTAGCTCATTATTTATCACATATATGCTGCCATGCTGGCATCAGGAAAACAGAAAATGGTATTAAAAAAAAAAACTTAAACGTGATTTTCCTTTTCTGATGCCAAATCAATAGCACCATAGGAACCTTCCTTTGATCTTGTTCTTTGTATAGAGAATGGGGAGGTTTCTCTTAGTCAGACTTTTATAAATATAGACAGGTCCTGTGGGTGGATATAGGGGCAGAGCTATATCACATGCATGCTGCCATGCACGGCTCACTATCTGAAGATGAAGGGTTTGAAAGGACACCTTTTTTGTAGTGTGGATAAGTCCAAAGAGCCACTACGCAGTATATGAATGCTTGGAGATTTTCAGGGATGCTATGAAGAATGGATAAATCGCTGGGAGCATTTTGTACATTCACAAGGTGCATACGTTGTTCATGTACAATTGTAAAATTTTTCAATAAAAGAATTTTTAAAATATTCATTACTTTCTGGACACACCTCCTATATTCCAAAACAAAAAGGATGTGCAAAGTCTTAGTTTTCCTCAGTCTGCCTCGTGCTGCAGCCGCAGCATGATCAGAAATCCTTTCCCCTGCCAGCATGCTACAGAGAACAGCCCTTGTTATATATCTGTGGAAGTGGTTTCCTTTCTGCATTTGTCAAAACATGTTCCCTGCTGATTCAGACCTGCTCTGCAATCCTCAAAGCTCATGCCTTCTGCTGACTGAAGCTCAGCAGAGAGACCTCTGCTTCCAAACAGCAAGTCTCCTTCTGTACAGACAATGCACACCCTTTTTTGATGTACCTGGAATGTTTCTAGTAAAAAGGAAAAGTTCAGTTGGACTTTAACCATTCCACTGCTACTGCCATAAGGCATACAGCTGCAGAGAACCACTTCCAGCTGGCCAGGTCAGTATGCTTTTGTCAGCTGAATTCCCCACTCTGCTATAAGCTCATACCTACAGTGGATATAAAAAGTCTACACACCCCTGTTAAAATGTCAGGTTTCTGTGATGTAAAAAAATGAGACAAAAGAAATACATTTCAGAACTTTTTCCACCTTTAATGTGACCTGTAAACTGTACACCTCAATTGAAAAACAAACAGAATTTTTTTAGGAGGGGGAAGTAGGCATAAAAAAACTAACATAATGTGGTTGCATAAGTGTGCACACCCTCTTATAACTGGGGATGTAGCTATGTTCAGAATTAAGCAATCACATTCCTGTTTAACATGATTCAAAATCATGTTAAACAGGAGTCAGTGCACACCTGCCATCATTTAAAGTGCCTCTGATTAACCCCAAATCAAGTTCAGCAGTTCTAGTAGGTCTTTCCTGACATTTTCTTAGTTGCATCCTATAGCAAAAGCCATAGTCCACAGAGAGCTTCCAAAGCATCAGAGGGATCTCATTGTTAAAAGGTATCAGTCAAGACAAGGGTACAAAAGAATTTCCAAGGAATTAGATATACCATGGAATACAGTGAAGACAGTCATCATCAAGTGGAGAAAATATGGCGCAACAGTGACATCACCAAGAACTGAACGTCCCTCCAAAACTGATGAAAATATGAGAAGAAAACTGGTCTGGGAGGTTGCCAAGAGGCCTACAGCAACATTAAAGGAGCTGCAGGAATATCTGGCAAGTACTGGCTGTGTGGTACATGTGACAACAATCTCCCGTATTCTTCATATGTCTGAGCTATGGGGTAGAGTGGCAAGGTGGAAACCTTTTCTTATGAAGAAAAACATCCAAGCCCAGCCAAATTTTGCAAAAACACATCTGACGTCTCCCAAAAGCATGTGGGAAAATGTGTTATGGTCTGATGAAACCAAGGTTGAACTTTTTGGCCATAAAATTCCAAAAAATATGTTTGGTGCAAAACAACACTGCACATCACGAAAAGAACACCATACCCACAGTGAAGCATGGTGGTGGCAGCACCATGCTTTGGGGCTGTTTTTCTTCAGCTGGAACTGGGCCTTAGTCAAGGTAGAGGGAATTATGAATAGTTCCAAATACCAGTCAATACTGGCCAAAAACCTTCAGGCTTCTGCTAGAAAGCTGATCATGAAGAGGAACTTCATCTTTCAGTATGACAACAACCCAAAGCATACATCCAAATCAACAAAGGAATTACTTCACCAGAAGACTAAAGTTTTGGAATGGCCCAGGAAGAGCCCAGACCTTAATCTGATCGAAAATCTGTGGGAGGATCTGAAGAGGGCTGCGCACAGGAGATGCCCTCACAATCTGACAGATTTTGAGTGTTTTTCAAAGGAACAGTGGGCAAATGTTGCCAAGTCAAGGTGTGCCATGCTGATAGACTCACACCCAAAAGACTGAGTGCTGGAATAAAATCAAAGGTGTTTCAACAAAGTATTAGTTTAAGGGTGTGCACACTTATGCAACCATATTATTTACATTTTTTTATTTTTACTTCCCTCCACCTAAAAGATTTCAGTTTGCTGTTCAATTGAGTTGTTGTACAGTTTATAGGTAACATTAAAGGTGGAAAACGTTCTGAAATAATTTATCTGGTCTAATTTTTTATATCACAGAACATTTTAACAGGTGTAGACTTTTTATATCTACTGTATTTTTTTTATATATGTAGCAAAAGAATCAGCTGGCTGTGCAGAGAATAGCTGGTTTCCAGTGGGAAGATTCCAGTGACAGGCAGATGCCACAAACCGCAGCATTTCATGTCCCCTGCACAGCTCACAGTCTTCGCTGTGCCCTCTGATCCTCCTGCTGCTCTCTCACTGGTTGTGGCGGAGGAGACAGTGGGCTGTGAAGGAAAGAAGACTGCCGATGCCTATGGAGAGGATCCAAACTTTCAGGATTGCTGAACAGTGGATCAGTATATACAAGTGTCTGAGTGGATACTGATCCTTTGTCTGTTCTGAATGAACATTGAGGTGATCAGTGAAATAAAGTAAAACATAGATCAAATTAAAAAAATAATAATTTTATTATTTAATAATAATACAAAAAAAAAAAAAATAAAATTCAGATCTCTGATGTGGGGCTGCACGCAACATTGCCACAGTGTACGAACACACTAGTTCTTGTTGGTGCATGGCAAAGCCATTCATTGTCAATTGCATCCCAATGCGCTTTGCTAACACGGGGGTTGCAACGTACCATGACACATGCCAACTTATTACCACAATGCCTAATTTATTTTCTTTTAAAAATACATTCATTCAACGCTATGTGTGGCAGCACATCATGATGCATTGTGATGTTAAGTGCACACACAGTAATGCAGATCAGCATTACAAGTCATAGGTGTGAAGCAAAGCTCCAGATTTATTGTATTAATTGCCTTTTTATGGTTTTACATATGTTCGATATCCATGGTTTCGTAAAAAGGCAGGTTTTAAAATTTACAAATAACTGTCCTTTCATAACTGCATAATTGTTTTTAGATTTAGAAGGAATTGTAAATTATGTTGGGTTTCTGTGTGTTAGTAATGATTTTACAGTATGTTTATCAAAAACATTGTCTTGATAAACATTTGCGCAGTTATTACTATTTATCACTGTCAATAGCAGCAGCTTTTTATTCTACAAGTACTGTGCTTTTACAAACTCTGAAAGCTAATTGAAATATTAAAAAAGTGAACCATTTCAAAAATGGACTGGCCACCTGAGGTTAAACATAGAGCACAGAGTCTGACAGCAAAAAAGTTAAAAAGGTACTGTATGAAACAAATGCCTTTTCTTTGCACCATTGCAGGCACCATGGTATTGGAAGCTGAGGCCAATTTTTGGTAAGACATATTGGTGACCACCTCAACCAACATACACCACAAAAATTATGCACATGAAAAGGTAAATGATTGCAGTCACTGAATATTTGTGCTCTGAAGTGAAAAACCAGCATGCAAAATATATTGGCTGCCCATTGTTCAGACTTACTCAATAGAAACAACAACAGCATTCACATCTTCAGAAATGCTCCGGCACAGAGTGTCATAGGACCTTGCTCCTAAAACAAGCAGAAGCAATATAATTAGTCATACACATAGGAATAACCCATAAGGAGGTGGGCATACTGAAAGTCACACTTCCAGACTTTTTTTTAGCATGGTTACAGGGTATTGGTTCTAGAAGATTTTTTTTGTGAAGATGACTTTTATTTTGTCAAGCTGGAGATCTGAATGATCACAATTAACGATTATACCACAGGATGATTGTCCCTTCACAGAACCGCTAGTCCAGGTATGTGGGACAATCCCCATTGCTCTTACCAATAAGCCTCTATATCTTGCCTGCCCTGTATTCACAGCACCTATGGGAATTCACTTCCTTGCATCAGTAGGGTCTCTGGTTTGGATCTCAGTCAAGACACTGTCTGCATGGAGTTTGCAAACATTTGGGAATGTTTCTTCCACACTCAAAAGACATGCTGGTAAGTTAATTGACTGCGGTCTAAACTGGCCCTAGTATGTGTATGTAAGCATGTGAGATAGGGACCTTTGATTGTTAGCTCATTGAGGGCAGGAACCATTCATTGGACAGATGTGTTAATGTGCATTCATTATGCTCCAAGCAAGTTGGAAGCAGAGGCGATGCAGGAAAATACACTGCTGAACCTGGAAATTATTGTGTTACTTGCCTGGCTATACAATAAATCAGAGGTGTAAAACTCACAAAAATAAAAATCTTGTGGTAGGTAAAGCAGCAAACAAATGTTATTTCTACTGTGAATTTAGCTGCTTGTCTGGTCTTGTGCTTTAGTCATAGCTTTGGCAATTTCATTAACAGCTGCACAATAAGCTCACTTTATTAATGTCCGTTATTTTCATTAAAGTCAGTTATTTTTATTATAGGAGATGTTTAAATCTCATGTGATTAAATTTTGATTTATTACGATAATACCCCCCAGTAATTATAAAAAATCTGCAAAAGGATTTTTATGTTCAGCATGAATTGATAGAATATATTGAACATCAGTTGTCAGTATGCCTTTGAGGGTAAACTCTAATAAATATGAATATCAGAACCAGTCTATGTTATATATGTATTTAAAGATTTTAAGCTGAAGTTTAGCTAAAAAAAAATCCCCACAGCTTTAAGCTGTCCATACATTAGACAATTTTTTTGTTTCCAGTTTCCTTTAGCTTGACCATCTAATATTTAGTGCAAGGACCTGACTTGATTGCATACGAATTGAAAGTGTTTCGGTTTGGCCTTGTATTATATGGTTTTGGTAAATCTAAAAGAAAATTGTATAATGTATAGCCAGCCTTAGACACATCACTTACCTGTAATGAAGTATGACCCATGTTGTGCAGGCACCTAGGTCCTGGAGAAATCTTCACTGCAGGGATGCCTGTCCTCTTCCTTTCCCTGAACTAATTGCACTGAGATGAAAGAACTTTTCTCAATGGAGGAGGAGGAAGGAGCGGGTGTGTCCTTGCTGCGCCATTTCTTCTGCCCGAGATGAAGACCTCAGGTTAACACTGCAGTACCGGAAGTTCAGAGACAGGAAGAGGACAGGCAGCAGTGTAATTTCTCCAAAAACCAACGGCCCACACAAAACGCAAGACATATTTCATTACAGTTAAACATAAATCAATTGCCGCGCTACACCATCATTATTATCAACTAAATACCATATTTTTCACTACATAAGACGCACACTGACCATAAAAAGCACCTAGGTTTTAGAGGAGGAAAAGAAGAAAAAAAAAAAATATTCTGAACCAATGGACTGCAGACATACTACAGGAGATGACCAGAGACTGCTGACATACTACAGGAGATGACCAGAGACTGCGGATATACTACAGGAGATGACCAGAGACTGCAGACCTTTGGGGAGCAGAAGGGGGAGCGGGGACCTGAATTTGACAGGTACCCGCTCCCACTTCCGCAGAGTTGTCCTCCCTCTCCGTCTTCTGGGACACATGACAGGTCCCAGAAGACTGCCGAACCATTCACAAAGCACAGCGCTTCTCACGCATGTGAATTGGGCACCCGGCTGTGAAGCCGCAAGCTGTCACAGCCAGGTGCACACACTAAAGATACCGGTGCCAGGAAGAGAAGACAGTGAGGACACCACTGGACTGATGAAATGGTAGGACTGAGGAGCAGCTTCTGCTGCACAGAAGAGCCAAGCGCCCAGCTCGATATTCTAACACAGTGGAGGAGGGAATACTGGGCTGGCTGCTCCATATTTGCTCCATAAGACGCACAGACATTTTCCCCCATTTTTTTGGGGGGAAAAAATGAATCTTATGGAGCGAAAAATACGGTACATAAATAATGAAGATTGTATAAAAGAAAATATCAACATATAATCCAATAAGTCCCAAGAGAAAAACTAGAAAGTCCCGATATTCTGTTAATGTGTTATACAACACCGTGTTTCTTCAAATAAACCAAGTGCACCACTACCAAGTAATGGTAGGACTCTTACCAGAACATGTGGACCCTTAAACTAATAAAAAAGAGTCATAAATGCACCAATCCAACTTCCTGGTAATCAGAAACAGCGTGATGACGTCAGGAACACAGACTCTACCCAACGTGTTTCATCACAAATGACATCATCTGGGGCATGGAACTTCCATGCCCCAGACAACGTCATTTGTGACGAAATGCGTCAGTGGGAGTCTGTGTTCCTAGCGTCATCACACGGTTTCTGATTACCAGGAAGTCGGATTGGTTCCCGGGACCAGAGGCCTTATTTTTGTATACAGCGCATATTTGTCTACTAAAATGTGAGTGGAATTCAACACTTTTAATAAAATTGTCCATATGGTTTTACGCAATGTTTGCTCTCCTCTTTCTTCCTTCATGGTCTAATTGAATGCACACATTGGAGAGACATATAAGATGGGGATAGTCTGAAGGGATCCTTTCAGCTCATTATGATTGTCCAGCATCTTTCCTCTGTTTGAGCGTTGTGGTGGATACACATCTCCAGGCCATTAGATTTATGTCTTTATGACTCTTATTAGTTAAAGGGTCCACATGTTCCGGTAAGAGTTCTACCATTACTTGGTGGTGGTGCACTTGGTTTATTTGAAGACACACGGTACTGGATTACACATTAACAGAATATCGGGACTCTATTTACGATTTTTCACTTGGAACTTGATTATATGTTATTTTATTTTATACAATTTTCATTATTTATGTATTTATTTGATAAGAATGATGGTGTAGCGTGGCAATTGATTATGTTTATTTGTACACAATTGCTCTGATTGTTTTGCCAGCAGCAATTTTTCTTATGTTTTACTTTTTGCGTGACTTTCATTACCGGTAAGTGTTTTCCGGAACTGTTGCAGCCCGACTGTTTATGTCTTCCTATATCACAAGGGTCAAGATTAGCAAACCTTCAAAACTCCACAGAAAAGCTATTCACAATATTGAAAATCAGTGCAATCCAATCCTGCTTCCTGATCCCAAAAATTGCTGCCTGCAAATTGTATAGAAGACTGGTTTATATTCTAAATCTTTGTCCTATTATATCCTCTGCAGGATCCAGTCGTTGTAGTTAAACTCATACTGCACTTCCTAGGTCTCATCATGCACCAATAAGATAAATGATATCACTATAACCTCCCCAACGGTAACTTACTTGCACTTCCAAGGGCCCATCCTCCGCCATGGATGTAAATAATGAGGCGTTTTAATGCCCCACCAGGTCCTGCATCAGGTTCAAAGATTCTGACCTCCACGCCATCAAACATGGTATCTGAGACTTTAACATGTGCAGACGATACAGGGTCTACTTGATCAAAGTAGTTGGAAATGAAATTCAAGACTCGCAAATGGTGACTGAGGCCAAAATAATGTGCCAAGTTACTCTACAAAAAAGAAAAATAACACAACCTAAGCATACAATATATTTAAAACTTTGCATAATAAACAGATTTGATTTGCATAACTATTTTGTGTTTTTAAGGACATAGGGCCATAGGTTTATTAAATAACATAGTACAAGGTGAAGAAATCAGTCAGATATTGACAGTCATGCCAATGGAATTTTTTTTACTGGTGTATGCGTGTCACTACCTTTGGTCCGTTCTTTTTGTCATTTAATTAAGGGTCCAAAAGTCCTTGTCCAAGTAATTTACAGCAACATTCGGTCATAATGGAAAGAACCACAATACATCTTTGGAGCTTTACATTTGTTTCTTCATTTCTAAAAAAACAGCACAATATCTTCTGCAGATGTACATATACTGTATGCATATCAAGAACCACTTAAAGCTGAAGTTTAGCCAAACAAAAATTCTTCCCTATAGCTTTACTTACCTGTAATTAAGAATGCCCCATGTTGTGCAGGCAGCTGAATCCTTTGGAAATCTGTGCAGGGATGCCGGTCCTCTTCCTGCTGCTCACTTTCTGACACTGCAGGGGTTAATAGCTCTGACTCTTCCATGAAGCTACAGTGACCAAACACCTAACAGGGAGCCACCCCCTCCTCCTCCACTGAGAAAAAAAAAGTTCTTTCATTTCTAACACAATCTCTGAGAAGGGGATACAATTCTGTGACTCATCTGACTCTCTCCTATTTACTGATCATGTTACATGCAATGTACACTGTGAAGCAGCTTTTTCCCAATGGGGAAGGAGGGAGCTGGTGCCCATTTAGTCACCGGCCACACACCGCTGCTATTTAAAATCGCGTGCTTTGTGTGCAATTTCAGTGCGATGTCTGCAGACTTTATTGCTACTTGTGAAGATATTCAATGATTTCTTGCAATTTGCAGTGCGATTTCCATTGTATTCTATGTATGTGAAATCGCAACTAAACTGCAGAAAAAGTAATGCAAGAACTACTTTAGAAAATCACACTGCAGCAAATCGCAGATGTTAAAACACTGACATTCACATTCATTAAATGCGATTTCAATTCACAAATCACACCTGATATTGCACTGGTATGGCCGGGCACTAAGAGTTTTTTCATTGCAGCAGGATGAGGAAGGGGCAACCCTTCAGTAAAGATTTCTACAGGATCCAGCTCCCTGGATGGATGTGGGACATACAGTACTTCACTACAGGTAAGTTAGCTCACTAAAGCTATAGAGATTTTTTTTTTTAGCTTAACTTCAGCTTTAAAGCGGTATTAAAACTAAAAACAAAAATGTAATGCATTGCAACTTACCAATTCTTAGAATGTAGTGGCTACATTCGTTTTCTTTATTTTCACCTGGTGATCTTGCTTTTAACAGTCCAAGATGTCCAGCAAAAGTGGCAGTCAGAGTATTGAGGCATGACAGAGGTGATAACAATGGTCAGTTTTTATTCATTTATAGAATACCTTCATTCCAAAAAGGAAAGAAAACCTGCCATTGTAACGGCTTAAAAAAAAAAAGTGTCAGCTGGAGTTTGGCTTTAATTTGTTAATCAAGTCCATCTACTGTAAATCTGTTAGTACTGTACATCTAACAATACTCTCTCCATAGGATTAACAAAGGTGTCTGTTGCTTTCTCATCCAGAGTGTAGACACACTGAGACAAGAGGTATGTTACTGGCCTGATCACTAGGTGAAAAATAAAAAAGGTATAAAAAAATAAAAATAAAAATGAATGCAGCCACCACTTTTAACGTGTAATACAACTATGTAAACCAACATGATTTTTAATCCTTATTCTGCTATCATTAATAAATAGATCTGCTTTAAGTGCCATTCCATTAACAGCACCCCAAACACAGATCACAAAAAGCAATACATTTGCAGGAACCAGATCGCATCGCATGGTACCGGAGTACCATTTGTTTTGATGTGGCACATTTTTTAAAACTAGTACACGCACAACTTTTTGTGTGATTTCAGCCCATACAAATGAATGGGCTGAAAAATTGCATTGCAGGGGCACACACAGGAACACAGTTCATGTTCCTATGCGATTCTGTTGTGCAACTGTGGGATACTTTAAGCAGCAATTTGAGCACACTAATCTTCCTTCTAAGAATCTGAGGAGTCCTTGCTTGCAACAAATATTAGGCTGTGCTATACCAGGACACCAAAGATAATGTCTATCTTGACTATGCAGACTCTAGCACCAGAAGGTTGGCAGCAGCACACAGCCTTAGGGATCTTTCACACCAATCTGTACTCACTAATGTCCTGGAATAATTGGCCGCCTCCTTCCAATATCTTCCAGACACCTTATCTATGATGCCAGACCAGATCCTCAAAGACAACCCTGATTCAGCTCCATTAGATGTTAGCAGAATAGGCCCAGCTGGGACCTTAATGAGCAGCAGATACAAGACTGGCCTGCCCAGAAGGATAGCAGCCCTACAGCCTGGGATCTCTTCCTCCTAGGACAAGAACCCCTCTGTTCCAAGCCCCAGGCTATTTATGCTGCCCTCCTAGCCAACATCTGGGCATCTCTCTGCAGAGATTGACCAGGGCTGCATACATTTTCACTGTCCAAGCCTACCATTTATTTATTTCAGGTACTTATATAGTGCCGTCAATTTATGCAGCGCTTTACATACATATTATACATTCACTTCAGTCCCTAACCCCCAAGGGGTGTACAATCTAAGGTCACTAGCTTACATTCATACATACTAGGGACTATTTAGACAGGATCCAATTCACCTACCAGCATGTCTTTGGAGTGTGGGAGGAAACCGGAGTACCCGGAGGAAACCCATGCAGGCACAGGGAGAACATGCAAACTCCAGGCAGGAGGTGCCGTGGCCGGGATTCGAACCAACGACCCATGTGCAGCTTAACTGATTACAGTGAGGCAGTAACAATGTATTTACAGTTCTACACAGAAAAGGTCTTCCAACCTTTCTCCAGCTTTCCTGATTTGCATTCTTTTTCCGGGTGAGTCAGATAGATGTCAAAGTGAATGGGTAAGCACAACAGCGAGGCATCTAGCATTGTCAGGAGCTCAGAAATGGTAGTGCTGATGCTTCGCTCATAGCAGGTTCACAGCGATAGTTCTGCCCATCTCAGTAGATGGTAGTGGTGCACCAAAATGGAAATTCTTGTGCAGAAACTGAACATTCAGGATGAACTTGGCCAAAAACCGAAATGGACAGTTTTAAAAAATTAATATATTTTTCAAACATAATTTTTTTGGGAAAAAAATACACTTTAATGATTTAAAAAAAAAAAAAAACATACAAATATATACCCCAATTTGTTCTGCAAAATAATATGAAAGATGATGTTACGCTGAGTAAATAGATACTCAACATGTCATGCTTTAAAATTGTGCACACTCATGGAATGGCGTCAAACTACAGTACTTACAAATATCCAAGGGTGACGCTTTAAAAATTTCTAGGTTACCTGTGTAAAGTTACAGAGGAGGTCTAGTGCTAGAATTATTGCTCTTGCTCGGTCGTTTGTGGCGATACCTCACATGTGTAGTTTGAATACCGTTTACATATGTGGGCGTTGCCTACATATGCGTTCACCACTACACATGAGCACGGGGGGGGGGTACTTTAAACGTTTTTTATTTTTTTACACTGTCCCTTTAAAAAAAAAAAATGTAATCACTTTTATGAGGCAGAGGCGATCATAAGGTCACTGCCCCACCTTTCCACCTCATCCAATTAGAGAATGCTTTGCATTCACTGAGAAAATGCAAAAAAAGGTTCTCTGAATGGCTCCTGTGCTGAGTGGTTAATCTCGTGTTCACAATATGCAAGGCAGCCATTTGAGACCTGGAAGCCAGTGGTGATCACTGGAGTAGTGGTGTCTCCAGCTTGTACAGGGATCCCACAGGTATAGCACATATACATTTACATTAGTCTAAGCTGGACCAATGTATATATACACAAAAAAAAACATACCTAAACAATAGCTTTAACCTGTAACTAAAGCCTAAAGTTTTTTTTCAAGTTTGTGGACTGTTATTGTAATAAGGCAAGTGTATGGCAGCATTACATCAATGGATCCATTTGATATTAATCTTCATTTTGCACCTGGCTGTAAAAAAAACAAAAAAACAAAACACAATAGGTGTGCCCTACCATGTCTCTTGACCTGTTTATCTTTTGATGCATGATTTACATTAACAGGTTTTGTAGCCTATGATTCATGGCAAAAACATTTACGCAATAATAATAGTAATAACATTCCTTTTTACATTTTTGTATGTGCTTGTGTTCCATTATGGCCAATCATCACAATCATTTCTCATAAATGAGAAGAAATGTTCTTTAGGGAGAAGGGACTACCTATGTAGCATTTAGAAAAACTCATCCTATTCTTTTATTGTGTGACCCCACATTCACACCTGAGCCGATTTGAAGCCCATTTCCCAAAGCAGTTCAATGCTCAAAATGTAATAGGAACTTCACTCAACTTGATGCCAGTCAAGTTTGGGGAGGTATGTAGATCACCTATCGAGGATCCGGGACCGCTCTGTGCAATTCCATTACATAGAGCAGGTACAGGGGTTAGACAAAAAAAAAAAAAAAAAAAACACTACCTGATTTGCAGGTGTGAAAGTGACAATCTTTCATGTGGAAAGTGGAAGTGATATAACATTCTTTTGCTTCCACTGTGCGATGAGACATCCAGCTAACAGGTGGGAAGCCTCACTTTTGACATTCACTGCGCGTGCTGCTGTAGGAGTCATAAAGACGGAGATTGAGCTCTGCAGTCACTTTTGCAGCAGTTGTTTTCTTGTTCCGGGTCACATTTCTGTGCAATGTCCTTTTATCTCTTTCGGTCAGTTGACCATGTCGACTGTACTTATGCTTATCACATGATATTTTCCTGGAAACTGTATGTGGCGTCACAACCTTTGATACTGTACCTCGTGACATGGCAAAGAACATGGCTCAGTAAACGCTGACATGACTTCATATTACTAG